ATATTTGGAATAGAATAAAAGAAACAAATAAAAATTATATAAATAGAAAATTAAATAAATAAAAAATAAATTAAATAAACTAATATAAAAGTCAAATGATATATGATATAGAATAAATGAAAATAAAATAAGCGAAATATAAAATAAAATGAAACAAAAAATTATAAAATAAAATGAAATAAAAAACAATAAAATAAAATAAATTAAAAATAATTAAAATAAAATAAGATAAAATAGAATCCAATAATATAAGACAAATTAAAATAAAATTAAATTAAATAAATAAAATAAAAAAATAACAATAAAATAAAAATTTAAAAACTATTTCAAATAAAGTAAAATAAAATTAAATTATATTTAATAAAGTAAACAAGCTGAAAAAATAAAAGACATATGTGAATAAAACAAAATAATTATAATAAAACAAGAAAAAATATAATAAATAACTATAAAATAAATTAACATAAATTGAAATAAAATTACATAAAATAAAAAAATAGTATTAAATAAAATAGAAAGTAATAAATCAAATTAAATTAATTTAAATAAGCAACGAAAAATAAAATTAAATACCACTTCAAATAATATCAGGAATTTTATTAAAATAAAATAAAAATTTCAATTTAAATACAATATGATGGCAAAAATATTACAAAAATGTAAATATAAATAAAATATGTTAACAAAAAATAAAAGAATTTAGTTAAAATATTATATTAATTAAAATTGAACAATACTCAATGTGACCATTTATCAAATGTAATAAAAATATAAATAAGATTAAGTTAAAAAAAGTTAAACTAAAAAAAAATAATAGAAAAAAAATTAAATTAAATAAAAATAAAATTAAAATAAAATAAAAATGATATTAGAAAAAAACCAAATAGAACAAAATTTATTAAAATAAGTAAAATAAATTAAACAAACTAAATTTTAATTAAATGAAATAATATATATAAAAATAAAAAATAGTAAAATTCATATAATAATTTAAAATAACTTCAATGAAAGAAAATAACGTAAAATAAAGTAACATAAAATAAAAATTAAATTAAATTAAAAAATATAAAATTAAATTAAAACGAGATAAACTTAAAAAAGTATAAGTAAAATAAAATAAAAACAAAGCAATAAAATGAGATTTATTTTATCTAAATTATAATAAAATAAAATAAAATTAAAATTAAATTAAAAGAAATGAAACTAAATAAAATTTAGTCATATAATATTAAATTAATCGAATCAATTGAATGTTTGCGTACAAGTGATGAACATTTAATTTAAAAAAAAATTATTAATAATAAATAAAAGCTTACTTTCAACAAATTAAATGAAAGAAAATAAAAATAATTGTAATTAAGAAAATGTTAAAAAAAAATCTTGAAATACAACGAAGAGAAAAAAATTAAAATAAAATAAAAGAAATCAATTTATATTCAATTAAATTAAACAAAAATAAAATAAAATGTAATAAAATAAAAATTAATAAAATTAATATGAAGGGTGTAATAATAAATTAAAATAAAATAAAATGAAATTAAATAATTCAATTCTATTGTACAAATTATGTACATGTAGTTGTTGCTGCTGCAAACATTGTAGGCGTGCAGATTTTTCTTTTCAGCACACTCGGCTGTAACTACGCTTTAAATTTTCTATCAGCAATTGTTATGTGCGCATATGTATGTATGTTGCCAACTCACATGGTAAATGATGACACCGACAACGGCAATAACAACAATATGTTAATGAGTATATATACTCATAGTCAAATGAGCAAAACATAACCCACGCATGCGTGGTTGCTGTTGCCTAAGAAATGAAACTTAAGCATGTGCACCAACTCAACCAACTCAACCAACTCGTCATCAGCATCATCAGCAACAGCAGCAACAACAACAAATCATGGAATTATACAAACGCCTTAAAATGGATGATATCATATATGTGAAACATTTTTGGCAGATGAGCATTATTTGGCACTTAAAAAATATATATAATAAAATAAATTAAAATATATATAACAGAAAAGAAGAGAAATATATAGATTTGCAGTGGTCACAAGTCACAAGTCGCAAGTCATATGTATGTATGCTTGTTCTACGCTTCAGTGCCCTAAACACTCTAGCACGCTGGCGACCACGCAAATTTGGTAAAACATTGACCAATTTTGGTAGTTACGAGCGCACATTTCCATCGTAGCTTTGCGCTTATCTATCCGAAATACACCCACCCGTCGCCTTTTAGTAGTGGTTTTAAAATCACCAACACACACACACACACACGAGTGTCTTATTGCCGCATGCAAAGCATCTTTCTGACTTTATTTCTATTATTTCTTTATTTTTTATGTTTTAACTAACAGTACTCTGTCCTAAATTAAGCATATTTGGCAACTTTCTTGTCCAAATCAGTGTATCTACGAGTATTTATTGTAGAAAATCTATGATTGGAAAATTTCACTAATTTGCGTCTACGAAAATGGCAATATTTTTTTTTAATGTTGTTATTAGTTAACAAGAAGGTAGCTCGACGAACTTAAAAGTAATATTATTACTGAAATTTAAATTAATTTAATTAGAAAATCTTGTATGCGAAAATCAAATACTTATTAAAAAACATAGATATCAAAAAATTAAAAATAAAATTAAATATTCAAATAAAATTTAAATAAAAAAAATTAAATATTAAAATAAAATTTGAAATATTAAAATAAAATTTAAATTTAAAAAATGTACTACCCACTATCAAAATCGTGTTGGGAAACGCTTTGAAAAAATTAAAAATGCAGATAAACTAAAATCAACTTTTTCTGTGTCAACTAAAATAACTGAAATTTCAGAAAATCCTAAAAATATATTTATTAAATATTTGCCTGAGAAAAGCTACTTTATTTTAGTTGAAAATATTATTTACGTATTAATTTGTATATTTAAAAAGTACTGTGGAATTTTCAATAAAAATTTGCAAAATTTATAAAAAAAAATCAAGAACAACTGCGCTAAAATCAATTTTAATTTATAATTTTTTTTTATAAATCGAAATCAAAATATTAGAGAAGTGAACGCTTAGAGGTTCTATTAGAAATGTTAAAATAAAATATATAATATAATAAAAACAAAAAATTATATTTTAATTGTTTATACATTGTTTTATATTTCTTTATATTTTACTTTATTAAATTTCGTTTTATACTTTGTTTAAGTTTTCCATATTTTTCTTACACATATTTTCATATTCCTTTTTAATTTTCCATATTTATATATATTTTTATATTTTATTATTTTTTTGTATACATTGTTATATTTTTAAATTAAAAAAATATGTTTCCTGATATTCTATTTTTTATTTTTATTTATTGTAAATATTTTACATTTTTTTAATATTTATGAAACAATTTTTTATTTTTTTATTATAAATTTTTTATATTAATTCATATTCTTCTACATTTTTCATTTAAATTTTGATTTTATATTTCTTCTGAATATTTTTTTTTTGTATATTTATTATATATTTCTCATTTTTAATATTTTTTCATTGTTTTTTTATTTTTTTATATTTTTTATATTTTTTTAACTTTATATTTTTTTAACTTTATATTTTTTTAATTTTTATATTTTTTTATTTTTAATATTTTTTTTTTTATTTTTAATATTTTTTTTATTTTTTTTATTTTTAATATTTTTTACTTTTTGTATTTTTTCTATTTGTTATATTATATATTTTACAATTTTATGTATATTATATATTTTTTTTCATTTATTTATAATATTTTTTTAAATTTTGTATATATTTTTATTTATTTTTTTATATTTTGTCAAATTTTTTCATATTGTTTTATATTAAGTTAACATTTAACAATTTCTAATCAATGTATTTTCTTTTACCCTCTTCTTAATTTTTTTATTTATCAAAATGTTAGCAATCATTTTTTCTTTAAAAAATACTAATATTTCTTCAAAAAAAAAAACGTTGCAAGCTAAATGAAAAAAATACACCCAACAAACAAGAGTGCACTACATATGTATGTATGTATATGTACAGCACTCTTAAGAAATGGTTAAATCATCTACCTACAACACCACAAACATTTTGGCAGAAGCAATAAATTCCCAATCCGATGGCTTAGCGAGATAAAATGGGGAAAAATCTCAAATGCGAATGCGTAAGCGTGTGGCAAAGTGTTACGGATTCTTCATTTTTTTACTCCAGAAGTGCACATCCTAACAATATTAAAAGCAGCAGATCTTTAACATTCTTACAGCACAATTTGTATTACATACATATAGTAGCCGGCAAAATATTCCACAACCACTGAGCACTTTCTTATAGATTTATTTCCTGCGCTGTACTTAGAAAGAGGCCGTGAAACTTAAAGCGTGTTATTTTGTTTATCTATTGCACTTAGAGATAAGACGCCCACTGATAGAGAGCGTTAAAACACACACGTTACCACTAATATGGCTACTAAGTAAGTAAGTATAAAATAGTACACATATACAATATAATATTTAAGCACTTAGTGAGAATATGGTAAATAAAAGCAGACTTAATCCATTTTACAGAGTGCAGATGGAGTTTCCCTAACTAAACAAAATGCACTTAAGCACTGTGCTGGACGATTAGAAATATTCTTTAACTAAGCTTTTAAGTAGCGATATCCTTTTTAAAGATTAGTGCAACAAGCTGATATGTTTCAATGCCCATCAGCTGAAGATATGTAATATTTAAGTCTACTTCTTATTCAGAAATTTCACGCAGTAGCCATTCACAATAATACGTTTTACTCGGCAATAAATAGCAAAACGCTAAAAAAAAAATTTCCCAACAAACACATTTTTAACAATAATTCCAAATTCACATCATCAAAGGCACACAAGTATGTATGTACGTTGGTACATCAACAACAAATACCACTATCTTCATTTCCCATTCATTATACATACATATTTATAGCAATTCAAAATTTGTTTTCTTTTTGAATATTTTCCACTACTCACCTTCTTCATGATGCCGGTTTTACGTTTCGAAAATGTCGTATATCTACGTAATTTATTATCAATATATTCCATCTTGATTTTGACTCGCCCTTTTGTCTTCTTCCCATTAGCAGGAGGTGACTTTTTGTTTTGCAATGCAGTGTAACTGTCATCTACCACGTCGGGCACATTGCCACTAACTTGACTCTGTTGTTGCTGTTGCTGCTGCTGCTGTTGCTGTTGCTGCTGTGCACTTTGCTGTCCACTGCCACCAACACAATCGAGTCCTTGTAGCGATTGTGTTGACATACCCGCAGCACTACTACTACGATGATGATCTTCATAACAATCGCTACCTGCACGTTTGATGCCACGCTGATGACTTGTATTGGAACCCGTGCTATTGGCAGTGCCACTGACCAGCGATTGACATTGTGTACTATTGGGCATGAGACCGCTCGAACGTGAACTGAATCCTACACCAGCGCCACCACCACCCATCGGTTGTATGAGGCCGCCTGATGGTGGTCGACCACCAAGCGCACTAACCGCTGCGGGATTACCACCATATATGTCGGCTTGATCGGCCAAACTAAGGCCGATGCCGCTCATGGGGTAGTTGAGGTTGTAGCGCGAGTCACCTCGCGTAGGATCCATTCTAAGGTAGAAGTTCTCCACTGTGACGGCTTGTTGTTAACACTTTTGTTAAAAAAAAAATTACACAAACACTGCTTAGCCAATCAGCTGTTTTAGAGCGGTTGCTGGCGTCGCCGTTGATTGTTAGTTATTACTGCTGGGCGTATGTGACACCTTAAAGAATAGTTGTTAGGTATGCAGCAACAATTGATTTGTTGGTCGACGTTATCGCACGGTACTGCACGGCACGGCACTGCAAATTTAAGCACTATTATACCACTTTCTCATACGTTTCAATACTAAATTTGTACAAATCGTATATGCATGTATGTATGTATGTGGTAATACGGGGGAATGTGGCTCTTATATTGGTGCCTATTGTGGCCTGCAAACACTTGTATTCCAAAAATAAACACAAAAAACGCACTTTTGACACTTTTTGAGGGAATCTCGGTTCGTATTTGTATCGAATCGGACACCACACAACCAACAATAACAACTAGGAGGCGATGAGACAGCTGCACGCAACTGTCAAATTAACGCATGTGGCTCGACGAACTACTCTGCCTGCACGACCGCTGCAGGAGGATTATACACACACACGAACACCCAGGTAACATGCACGCCGCGGAGAGATGCGATTCCTATTTTTAATTTCAACCAATTTTTATTTAAATTAACACAAATTCCAAACGGACCGTATCGTCTAAAATTTGGCAATCCGGACTATTATTTTTTTCTACGATTCCTTCTTTTGGGTGCTGCTACGACTAAACGCTTGTCAGAATCAACAAATGTCAAACTATATATGGCTCGCTCTCTCCCTCTCTCCACTGCACTATCGCTTCTGCTGCTACTTTTGCTGTTTCTGTTGCTGTCAGCTCTTTTGACGCTGTCAATAGGTTTTAATGCTTTTTCAGTGTTGCAAAATGTGTGTTTTTCCCTTATGATTGTTGCCACTGTGTTGTAGTAAATAAACTTCTTAAAAGAATTTCACCAAACATGCCATAAATGTTTATCCGCTTTCTTTACTCTTTGTAGCAAAAATTTCAAACGCAAAATGTAAATGTATGTAAACTTTTCTAAATATGCTCCGTAAATGCTGATAATGTTTTTTTTTTTGCTTATTTGTATTTTATTAAAGACGCTGTTGCTGTTACTGCTACTTTGCTTTACCATAAATTGCTATAATCCAAACGAAGGCAAGCAACTGATAAGGCTTGGTGCTATTACCACTTTTGTATGTTCGCTTGGCGTCGTTAATTGGCAAACGAAAAAATACGTAAACTGCGGAAATATCGCTTGTAACTGACAAATATGAATTTATCTAATGCGTTTATGTCGTTATTGCGACCACCTTGATGTTCTCTAGATGGAGGCGCGCTACCGAATAAACTCGCTTTCGATCGCGTCACACAGCACGACCGTTTTTTATTTTTCTTTATTGCACACAAAACGCCAAACTGGAGAGCTGCTACCATAAGCAACAAAAACACAACATTATTGTGTCTACTATATGTGGCGCTGGAGCGCCAACGAGCTAGCAAGCCAGCCTGAGCGCCGCCAAAACGATGCAATGCAGTTCGTCGAAGAGTGTACATATGTATGAATTACTCTTCGTTTGGGGTTCTCACACATGTCTACATGTTGAGAAATTGGAGATCGCCGCATGTGTAGACTTATTTAGCTTACTCTTTTATGCCATAAACTGAGTTTTCATTCGCTACACAGACCTTTACTTGGGTCTCTCCATCTAGCCGATAAGCTGAGCTTCATTCATAGCATTGTTTTTGTTTTCGGGCAATTTTTTGTTGGAGTCTACTTTTTATGTGATGAGTGTCACATGTTAATAAGAGTTTTAATAACTTTGTTCGTAAAGAGGGTTGATGGACACACTTGACAGACGTGAACATTATTTAGATTCAGACTTTGCTTAGTCTGAGTTTACATGAGAATACTTTTGTCGCTAATCATCGTAATTTTCTTTTTTGTGTCGCCCTTCGCGTTCACACAGAGACACTTTATTCAAGGAATTGTCTCGATATTTGTTTCTTCTTAATTTTTTTCTCTATTCCGCATTATTTTCCACTCGTTCGCTGCGTGCTTTGAATCTTTCTAAATTAAACCCAATATGTTTGTGTAAAGAAAGACGCATCTTTTATTTATTTACTTCTTCTAAATATCTTTACAATTGATTAAACATAAACTCTTCCTCTTTTTAAGTGTAATCTAATTACATATTTCATGCTTTTCGCTGTCATCAGAGTCAAACCCAAGGGCTTCTTCTATCCACTCTAATATTTCTTGCATCAATTAACTTTAACTGCAAACTCCATTATCTGGGCATTATCCAGGCATACATATATGTATGTTTGCATGCACATATAAATATTGTAGTAAAACCCCAAATTTCAATTTCCAAACTTATAATATTTAATCGTTTGATATTTACAGCTACAATCAGTACAAAGTGAAAAACCAAATAAAAGAGAATGCCAAAAAGAGAATGCCGTGTAAACTAGGACTAAAGGAAGTTAAGAAGTAACGAAGATATTATGCTGGTTTTAGATTTGACTACATTGAGACTGGATAGAACCTAGAAGAAAATATGAGTCATAGGAACTTGTTCGAAAAGCTGTTGGGGTTGTTGTTATAACCGCAAAAGAATTTGCTTAAATTGATTTTTGAGTGAGTGGCAGACCAAGGTCAGTCTAATACACGTTGTCCAACGCCAGCTGGTTCTCTCTGTACCCATCTATGCAAAATACATCCAAGCCGCAATTAGCTCCAGCCGATAAAAACTCCGTCTTACTGCTTGCTTCTTGATGTTTTATTTTTTCTTTTTGTTATCGCCTTCTCTTTTGGCATTCACGAATATTCAAAACGTTTCAACCAGACTTTAATTAACTATTACTGCCAATGAAGGCCTTATCTTAACCAACACATAAACGACAATACAAACACACATTCATACACACACACACACACACACACACGCAAAGTCGTGTTTTTTCCAACCGCGGTGTGAGTGGTGAGTCTATGGCGCGAGCTGGCGCGCGTTTTGATTTGATTTGTAAATTTTTATGGCTTTATTCGTGTGCATGTTTGTATGTATCTATAGCACAATGTATGTATGTATGTAGCCATAGCACAATGAAGTATAGTAAATAAAAAAAAGAAACAATCATAACTTCGGCTCAGACATTTACGGTGCTATTGGTTGGTCAATAGCAAACTCCTCCCATTGTAGGAATGCCACGTTATGTTGAGACGGGAAAAGACGTATGCATATGTATGTATATGCCACTTCTGACATTAGACATTATTATGAGTGATTGCATTTGGAGACAAGTATGTAAGTGTCTGTCTGTCTGACTGTCTGTTTGCGTGTGCGTGTGTGTGTGTGTTTGACGTGCCCAGCCATATGCAAATGAATACTCGTATGCCAGCAATTTTTCATATTTACACTTTAAGCAAAGGAAACTATTACCGTAATTTTAGCATTATTTGAGTGTCTTTTTTTTACCTTTTTTGCTTGTGCTCGTTTATTAAACGTTCATTAAAGTTTTTAAATTATTTCTTTAAGGTTCGCTTTTCTTAAGACACGTCTTCCATGACTGAAGTCATATATGTACATACGTGTATGTACATATGTACATGCATAAAGAGAGGAAAAACTTGTTTAATGAAAAATGTTCAATAAATAATTATATTTTATTCTACACATTTATGTCATTGTTTCAAGTAAGTAAAACCAACCTTTTTTTTAACGTTTTTGTAGGTGTTCAAACGTGTGGAATTCATCTAAAAGGAACTGTTGCCACAACAATGCGTAAAATGTCGATCATAGCCAAATTAAAAAGGCACCTGCAATTAGATATGGCAAAATGCACACGTGATTGTACATAAAGATATATTCACATGCAAGCATATATAGGTATACATATATAAGTTGCAATAAGTGCTTTCAATACACTATATCGATAAATATAAATGATAGGCATAAGCGTAGAGAGACAGTGACTGGCAGAAATGCACAAGCAAAGGAATTACGCAATAACACTGGTTGGTAACTGTTACAGAGGCTGCAACGCCTGAAACGCTTCCATATTTTCAAAACATTCAATTTTCACTATTATTATTAATTTTTTGTTTGTATTAATTTCCTTCCGGTCATTATATTAGCTGTCGTGCCTGCGTTAGCAGCGCTTGCTTTTGCTAAAGTTATGGTTTTGTTGCAAAATAATTTAATGCCGCGTTTGCACTTTAAATTATTAAAATATTTATTGCATTTAAGCGTTATTTTAATATTCCAGGCTTTTTCTCAGGTTTCACACTGTTCTTTTCAGGTGAATCTTAATTTCGCAATGTAAACAAAGCTGAGCTGTCATGCAGTTAATGGCCATTCACAATGCAAACTTTATGTACGGTTGTTGTTTTTTTTTCTTCTAACATTCGCAATAAGCAAACTAGTTTTTTGTCAAGTCATCGGTAGTGTATGAAAATTTTATGAAGAACTTTTTTGAGGAAAATTGTGTGAAGATTGGTAACGTGACGTTTTAAGTTCGATTATTCACTCAGTGAAGGCTTATAGTTGTAGAACACGCAATTTGCAACAAGAACAACGAGTTAGCATACATTTTGGGGATTAATATACAAATATATATGTATTGTATTTGGAAAACAGTAGCGCCAATGACTGTAAGATGTTTTTCCCGGAAGTAAAGCTAGGTTATACATCTATTCGAAGGAAGGAAGGAGCATACTTTGTGACCTCCCACCATCTTGAATCTTCCTATGACCAGTTGTATTTTCATCCACCAGCGCTGCTGCATCGCTTGCAAAGCAAAACTTAACATTTAAGCCGAGCATTTGTCCTGTCAAGTGAAAAATCTCTTGAAAATTTTATGAGTTACTGTTCATTTAAACACACGCACACATTAGTGGCATGCAATATGTCCGAGCAATCATGCATGCATGCATACATACATACGTCGTACTCATTGTACATACACGTATGTACTTATGTAACTGCGTCTTTTTCTATTTTAAAGAAGTTTTGACAAATCCCACTGGAACATTCCATACCGGATTTTTCTCAGAATCTTCATTTTTTCCAAAGCATTTTTCACTGCTTAGTTTTTTTTTCCACATTTTGTTTGTATTATTTATGTACTCATTTGTTTGTATGTGTATGTTTATGTAAGTCTGTACGTTTATTTGCCAGTTGAGTGTGGTTGAGTTAAGTTTAGTGAGACATACTTGCTGCTTTGCTACTGCTAGCCAGCGTAAAAGGCCAGAAATGGTAAAAACATGCGACAGCATTACAACCTCTGGAGGATTTGCGTAATGTATCATTATACACGTATGTACATACATACATACATTCATCTACGATCGAGTACCAAGTACGAGTACGTCACCAATATGCACGTACATACATACATACAAACATACATATGGAGATATGTATGTATGTATGCGTACTCGTACTCGAACTTACTACGCATTTTATATGCTGTACGTGAGGAGTACGCAGCAACAATTGCAACGCGCAAATATTCGTCCTCAAACGGACATACAGACGTAGTATGTACGCGACTTTCAATTGGAAATTGACGTTGGCGAAATGTTGATGGAGACGAGGCAGCAGCTGCAGCAGCCACTAACGCAAGTGGGTACATCAAGCAAGTCAGAAATCAACGTGGAAGTTGCGTATCGTCTAAAGAATTTGTTATGCTCATACTTACGTGCGTACATACATACATACATACATGCATACGTAGTTACTGCAAGAAAAAAAAGTTAAATCAATGTATGTATGCATGTGTGTGTATATGTGTGTGTAGTTATATATAGTTATAAACGTAAATATAAACGAATCACAACACATTCTGCATCCCGAATGATCATATAAAGTATACAAGTATTTCCCCAACTTTTTCGCAACTTGAGTTTGCGACATGCCTGCCCGCTGACTGCTAACTGCCTGCTGACTGCCATAGCCTGCCTGCCAGCCTGCTTGCTTGCCATACATCCTTAAATAGGAAATAGTTTTCCGTCCACGTGCAGTGACTATCTACGAGCCTTCTCTACAGGCGAGTCTATGCGTCTAAGCTGCTTTCTATACTATCCTCTGTACGTATGTATGTGTGTGTGTGTGTACGACAGGCTGATGACGACTTCGCATACTACTTACAAGCACTACTCGTTCGCCACTCGTCCATACTGTTTAGACTGTTTGTGGACTGCTATGTCATCACAGTTATTGCTCCCTGATGATAATCACTGCATTCCAATAAACAACAACATGTTCTCGTCTGTCCAAAAGCAAAAGAAAAATAAACAAACAAACAAAAAAAAAAACAACAACAGAGATCTTGTGTGTACTATAGTTAT